CTAGCCAACAACCAACATCTTTGTTTGTTTCAGGAAATGAGAGCACAGGGTGTAGTCTGCAAGCAAGTGTTCAAGAAGGTGCACTGAACAGCCGGAGCAGATAACCTTGGTTTTTAGAACAAGTGATGTCAGCCTGTGGTCAGGATCCCCTCTGGCCCAGCATGGGGCAGAAGCGTGTAGGCACCCCAGGCATCTGTCAGCAAAGTCTATCTCTTCATCTGTCTCTTTTCCTTTGCTTCAAACAAAGCCAGCCCAGTAAAGGTGGTCTCTGTTGAAGACATGTGTTTTGGAGACTTTATCTCCATGTGCTCGTTTTTTCTCCAGGGCCTTTGAGGCCAGCTTTTCCTGCCGTGCCCTTAGGCAGAGGGAGAAACTCAGCAAAACAGTGGCAGATTTCATCCTGAGATTTCAGCTGTTCATCTTTCCCCTGGGGGCACAAGCTAAGCTCTGGGGTATGTACGGTCTGGCATTCCCTCATCTGGGTGTTAAGTGCCTTCCACATTGCATGTCCAGCCAGACGTCAGAGGCAGGAGATGCCGCCAGCCTGGACACTGAAAGTCTAAAGTGGTCTGGCCACCAGAATATGGCTCTATAAGTGTACCATATGCCCAACATCATATATGAGTGTATAACATGCTCCAACATCGTTTATGAATAAAATGGAAATGCGCAAGATTTTTAACAAAAGCTAGAGTGAGGTAAACCCTATTCAAAGGTATTGCCCATTAAATTTGACATTAGAGGGGCCAGGAGCACATATTTCACCCCAGAACCACCCCACCTACCCATGGGCTGATGCAAAGCCTTTCTTCCCGCTGTTCTAGGTGAGTCATAACCTGCAAATCTCCACAGGAGAGCGGCCTCAGATTTGCACTGAAGTGGAAGTGATGGCTGGCTGTACCATTAATGCTGTAAAGAAACACAGGGAAATGCTGGGGGATGTAGCTTTGTTGTAGGGTGCTTGTGGTAGTGTGCATAAGGTTCTAGGTTCAAGCCCACTGCTGGCAGAAAAGGGGGAAATACAGGGAAGTTGAAGGGATGTGAGGAGATAGGTAGGAGATCGTGGATACAGAAATAACTGGAAAAAGGAAAGACCCCCATGGAGGACCCCCTGGTCAGCCACCAATTGACCAGCTGCCTCGTGTCTTGGAAATAATACTGGGTTAGGAGTCATACGCACTGAGTTCCAACCCCAGCTTCACCACTCACAGGGTGACTCCACACCCCTTTAGACTGCTTCTCTAGTCAGAAGGCACCAGACTGGCCCTTCAGACCCAGATACATGCTAGAGAGCAACCTGGGGAGTTCTTAAACTCCCTGTGTCCAGGCTTCTCCCAGAATCAGTTACATTTGGGATGTCTTGAAGTACCAAGCATCTTTATTTTTTAAAGCTCCCAGGTGAATCTAATACACAACCAGACTAGAGAGGCACTGCTCTGAGCCAGTGGTTCTTGACAGAGGTAGTCCAGCCCCACCTCCATCCCAAATCACTTGGTGACATGTGATTTCAGGACTTGGATGAGAACGCAGCTAACCATCCTACAGGGCACATGACAAAGATTTGCCCAGCTGAAAATAATAACACGTTTGAGAAACTGCCTTAGACAAGCATTGGGTATTTTTTTTTTTT